AGGCTTATACGCCCACCAACTCAGTTTGGCTTTAAATACAACTCATGTCAGATTTAAAGTAGTAGGAGGCACATACAGTCTTTTCTTTCCCTTTTACCTTCTTTCGTTTGGTACACAATGCTTAGTTCCAAATTTTATTTGTGAATTTAATCAAACCAAAATGCACCTTAGCAGCTCCAACCTGACTTAGAACTGCTTCTGAAACACAACTGCTTCACAGAACTAACATAGTACCACCGCTAACAGTACCTGTTCTTAATCTCAAATGTACATAAATAATGCTTAGCAAATTATAAAGGCAAACCCAAATAGTCAAGAATATCCAGGTTTGAACTGCAACCAAAATATGTAGTCTGTTAAACAGTGCAGAATTGTAGAAATACTTTTTCATGCTTTTAAGTTCACATTGAAACAAATTTTTACCTTTGCATGTGATTTAGTTGGCTGCTTGGGGAAACTGGATGCATGTGTGTTTGTGTATATGTCCACCTTTCCTCAGAAAGGTCAGCCAGGGCATGTCTGTACCTGTGGTTACTTTGCTATTTGTTTGGCCACAGAAGCCTGATCAAATAATGCTGAAATGAACCTACTGGTGTCGATTGTTTAGCATTGCTGATACTTTGATATATTGCTTTCTTTTTCCTTTTTTTTTTTTTTAAAGCAAAATAAGTATTTTTGTTGTTTCCAGCTGCTCTAGATCCTCTCCCTCTGCGTAGCGTGAGCTACTGTGCACATTTGCATACATATGTGCATGTGTGCAAACATATGTTATACATATTTATAAACTGGCCAGTGCATCACAGACAGAAGACTTGAATCTGAATTATTGTCTGCAACTTTTTGCTAACTGGTTTCAGAATGGAACAGAGAAAAAAGCTGAATAATCTGTAGCTGCTCTTAAAATATTCCTAATGGACCAGATCCATTAGGTAGAAATGCTGTCAATGACCCATTTGCAATGTGAATTCTTCTCTTTCTCGTGTGATTAAATTTGGTTTGGCTGTTAGTACATCCATTCCTTTCTCCCCTCCAAATAGAAAAATCACTTTCATAGTCTCATAGTTGTACACAAGGGAGCACAGAGAAAAGGCCAGTGATTCATTCTTCAAATTTCCACATTTGAGTAAGAGTAAGCAGTAGTTTTTCTGAACTGCATGAACACTTGAACCAAGGAAGTTAGAAGACAAGAAAGGGAGAAAAGGAACTAACCATCTTCCTTAATCTTATTTCCTAACTTACTTGTCAGGGATGAGCAACTCTTACATTGTTTTGAGAGAGCTGATGTTTAGTTCTCCTTCAGGGCCAGTATGAGGGATATGAAACCCAGTCTGAAAGCTGTTTAAAGAATTCTGGCTTTTGCCATGTCAGGATAAGACAGTGGTGTGATCATCACTGGCTTATTTTTAATCATGCTTGAAAAGTCAGGCTGTTTGAAGCAAAGGCAGTGACCTCCTTTACCTCTTTTAATCCCGGAAAATAACTCGCATGCCCTTCCTTCCCTCTTCCATGACTGCAAGATCTTTTCTAAGGCACATTCTTTTCCTTTAAGACACTCATGAAGCGTATAGAAAACTAGGAACATTTTCATTTGAGAAATGGACACTAAACAAGCTTAGCAATACTTGTTTCATAATAAATGATTAATTTTCCAGATAGGTGAAGTGAAATTCAGAGAGGTCAGATGAGTTTCTCAAGATTGTATGATGCAGAAATTAATTTGAATATAGAAACAAAAGGCTTTTGAACTCCAGTCCCTTATTTGATAAAAAAAGCTATTCCTAGTCAGGACTAGCAACAGTGGTATTTGCAGATGTTTTGTTTCAAAATCTTCTGAAGAATCAATATGAAAATTTGATTGGGCTGCCCAAGAGAAGAACATCAGAGAAAAGGTATTTGTTGCCTGGCTGAAGTCTGAAAGGATGGTATCTAGTCTTGGGGCTATGGCAATGTCATCCAAATTTCTCTTGGTATTTAAAATTTGTGTCCCCTCCCAGAATCAGCTTTGAGATATGTCTAGTTTGACATATGTAAACATTTCCAAATCAGATATTTAAAGACCATGGTAACAGAGAGGATTTACTGCTGTCCATGTTTTATTATTTGATGCATTTGGATTCACTTTGTTTGCTTTGTCTTTCATGTGTGAATTTTGCCACTTTGTCTTGTACTACAAAAATGACAGCATCAAATGTATAGCAAGCAGGTTTCCGTATGTCTTCTAAACACACTCTACGAAAACCCCTGCTAAATAAGGGTAGGCCTCTCTGGCTGGAAGAAATACAATGACTGTCTTGGCTGTTTGATCTCTATGTATAGAAAAAAAAAAATTGATTCATGGAGATTTGTGCCCTGAAGTGTTACTGTGTTGCAGCTGATGTCTTGCGCATTGTTACTGGGCATTAGAAAGGTGTGACGTATTAACAATGACAACCTGCTACGCTGCTGCTGTTTCACATTTCACAGACGGCTTATTTCCCTTACCTCCCAAAGTAACTGTCAGGGAGGCAAGCAACCTGTATGAGCATTTCTTTTCTTTCTATAAACCTAGTAATTACCTTACAGCTATTAGACACAGCTGTATGCATGTGTAAGGTTATACCGGCTATACAAGTGTCCTTCAGGGAGATTTTCGCTCACCAGAGAAAAAAAATATTGGCTATCTCCTTCTCCTCCCAGAGGATAGTTGTAATAATTGAAGAGTTATAGTGCTGTTTACCTTTTTTTTATTATTTTTATTGAGCATTCTCCTATGGAGTATGAATTTTATTTTGATTGGCTTCCTGTTTCTTGGTATGTTTTCCTGTGATGGAATTCTGTCTTGATGGTCATTCACCATCAAATTCTTTTCTCATTATTCTCATTTGCAAAATGTTTTGAAGACACATTTCTCAAAACAAGGTTTCTTATTTGAATGTGTATCTTGCTCTGTTCTGCAAACCATTAATGGCCTCCATTCACAGAACTTCTTACAAAATAAGCCATTGACTGAGCTGATGCCTCCAGATTTGTCTCTTGTTCTTTATTCCTCATAGAATCATAGAATTAACTGGGTTGGAAGAGACCTTCGAGATCATCAAGACCAACCCTTGATCCAACCCCACTGGGATTACTAGATCATGGCACTCAGTGCCACATCCAACCTCATCTTAAAACCCTCCAGGGACAGTGAATGTTCCTTCAAAAATATTGTCAGTTCATTCTGAGTAGTCAAATGAGACCTTGATATGACTCCCCCACTAGCCAGCTTCAGAACTGTAAATCCAGGGGAAGAGTTTGGGAGGAAAACCAAAAGATCTCCCTGATATATTTGCAGTCTTGCAAAAAGTTGAAAATATATGACAATATATGATAAATATTTTCATTAGAATAAAATGGGGGGATGTAAATAGGTAATTAAAATGAAATATTTAAATCAGTAGTATTATTCATCTATAAATCATTTAAAAAACAAACAAACAAACAATAAAATGCAGCCACAAAAAAAGATATTCTATGTATTAACCAAGCACTGACTTACAGAACAGAGTGCCATGGTAGGCTGAGAGATCTGAAGAAAAAGCATGCTTGGATAAGGTGGCATTTTAGTATAAATGCCAAGATTTAAAAAATGAGAATGTTTTACTGTTCTGTATTTTTCTGTGCTACAACTTTGTTGCTCAACAGCTACAATTTGCTCCAGCAGATGGAAACATGATATACAAATAAAGAGAAAAAGTGTATAGAATTTGATTGTTAAACTCATGTTAAATTTTCAAGTTCTAGGCTTTTTTATTGAGAAATAGGATAATGTACATAGACGTTTATTTTTCACATTGGGGAAAACAACATGGAGACTCTGTGAGATTGACTCTTCTGAATACCTGAATCTTTGTATATTATTGTCACCATCAGAGTCCATGAATGAAGATGCAACTTCTGTAACTAAAATGACATTTCCTTCCATTTAACTGGAATTGCATTTTTTCCGCACAGCTAAAGTGATTAAAACTCATGTATGTTTCATAGAAAATTACTACAGGAGTGTAATTTTGGGTACTAATAGATCACTGAGCAAAGCACCTACAATTATATTTCTAGGTACAGCTTCCCACTGAATTTTTCATAAAATTAACAATTCTCCAGGGTCTTCTACATTGAGCTTCAGATGGGGAAAATGTTCTTAAAATGTCCAGTATTTGCAAAATATTAAGTGAAAAAAGAAAATGTAGTAATAGTTAATCAAGCAAATATTTTTTTTACATAATTATTCTGTACCTTCCTGTAACATTCCTAAAATATAATAGAAACATTTCAAACTCAGAAATATGTTTAGTTGCAGTACAGTCCTCACTCAGTGTTGGAAATATGACCTTTGCATTTCAGCAGTAGTTCATACTTGGGTAGTTTTTGTGTTTACTGCACTAGTTTTACATTTGCTGTGCTGAGAAAGGGTTGTGAGATTGTTCTGGCAGCATCACAATGGGCACCTGTTTTCTGGCACAGCTGCTCCTGGCCTGGTTTTCTGTTGTGTCATTTCTTGTTTAGTACACAGCAGGTTTGAGTTTTGATATTTCTGTGTAGGCTCCAACCTAAGCTACTGTGTTGTAGTATAGATCTGGCAGAACTCAAAGAAGTTTATTTACAGTCCTTTATGGGCTTTCACTCTGTGTTTTGGTAACAGCTTTAAACACAACAGAAAAGCAGTATATGGGCGTGTGTGGATATCTGGATTTGCAAGGCTGTGGACAGTGAATTCACTACAACTGAATATTTGAAATTTGAAATGGAAAATACTTTGATCAAAACCTGAACTTATGATAAATGCCAGATCCCAACTTCACTGAAGAATCATCTTCATATACCTGCCTGTATATGAAGAGCTCAGAACTGTTATGATTTTGAATTCTTTCATTTTAGATCTGCTACCAAGAATGATTAAATACTATGTCAATGTTAAGTAAGAAAAAAAAATTTACATCAGTGAGTACTGTAACATTTGCTGGTTTTGCTTTCTTTGACAGTTTTTTGGAAACTACAGCCTATTTCTGTATGAAACCAAAAATGGGAGAAAAAGAGGTGTCACCACATTCTTTCTTCAGTATTTGGCATGAATTCAGTTCTGACTTCAAAGACTTCTGGAAGAAGGAAAACAAACTTATTCTTCAAGAAAGGTACATTTATTTGTTTGTTCAAAGGCTTTTCTCAAAGCATGTTATTAGGAGCAATTGCACAGAAACCAGTCAGCCTCACCTCACTGGCACACAACCTATTTAATGCCTTTTGGAGTTTTCTCAAATTTTGGTTTGTTTTTGGTTTTTTTGTTGTTGTTGTTTTTGTTGTTGTTGTTGTTGTTCTAACAGATCACGATACCCACCCCCACCACTCCCAAGACCCCATACACCATAATTTTTGAGTGGGATTTTAATACCAGTTTGTGCTAAAGTTTTTTGAGTCCCTTACTTGAACAATGTTTTTTGGCAGAGCATGCTACTACTAGGCTACTATGAGTCCAAAGAATGGGAAACTTGTTTCAGGTCTGAAAGTTGATTAAATATTTTCCATTAGCATATTTAGTCAAAAAAGTCAAGGCATCAAGACATGGCGTATTTTAAGTATTTGTCAAATGATGTTGGGAAAAGGAAGACAGAAGGAGTAATTGACCCTGCATTAAAAGAAAGGCACCGTATAGCAAATCACAACCCATGGACACAAACACGTGGTATATATGGCATAAAGAAATGAGACAGTAGTTTTGAAAAATTAGCCATGCTGTCTGGTCCATGTTTTAGAGAAGTTACGAAGTTTGCTTTCATCTGCATGCAGATAGTCCATCATGGTCACCCTTTGTTTATAAAATTATGCCAAGAATTAATCAGTTGTTTAAAAAGTAATAAATGCCATATAAGGACAAACTAAACAAATACAAACATGAAAATTCTAAGCACTGTTATATAAACCTACAACTCTTAGCAACCTGACTGATCGTGGTATACAGATAATGAAGCTACTTCTGAGTCTAAATATTAACACAGTTGAATCTTTATATTCATTAAATTATTGATATCAGTCCATTATTAGATAAATTGACAAGTGCAGACCTCTTTTTCAAGGATACTCATCCTATGTAATTGTCACAGACCTAAGATTACTGGTTTAGGAAGTTACTTTCCTTAGAAAACTTTCCTTAGGCACCAATACAATCAATGTTGTGTATACCATATATATTTGCTGTAAGTGGATACATTTTGGAACAAGCAGTCTCACAGATAAGAAAACTGAATTCTGCTACTATTACAAGAACATGGTGAGAATGTTAACACAGTACAGCAGATCTCTAGGAATCTATTTCATTTTATTGGCTGTCTGGCTTAATTTTATGTAATTAAGTGTATCTCTTTGAAACTGAGTTGTCACTTAAATACTATCTTTAGTTTCCTATGCAGGGATTTTGCTACCTATTTAATAACAGGTTAATTTAATTTTGTATATTTTATAGAAAAGGATTTAGGAAAATGTGCTTTTATTTAAAAATACTAAACTATTTTTCTGAAAAAAAAAACAAGAACAAATGGAAAAAAACAAAACAAACAAACAAACAAAAAAACCACAGCAAAAAAATCCTCCAGAGGGTTCTCACTTCAAAATACTTTACTTTTAAAGACATTAAATAAGCAAAAAACCTGTTCCTCCTATTTTTCTTAAGCACATCAAGCTTAAGAGAAGAATGGGGCTGTGATACAATCATGTAACTCTCTCTCTCAGTCCAATGTATATGTATACTAAGAGGATGTATTGAAGCAGCAGTAAAAACGTTGTCCGCCAGCTTGTCCCTTCTAGGACAAGGGTGTTTTTAGCCTGAAAGGAACTGAATGTGTATAACCTACAAAATGGCTGCAGGTGCAGGATGTGACAGGGAAGGGAAAGCACAGTGAAGAGGACCTACAGTGGGAAAAGAAATTGGGAGGTCCCTAGGAAGAACAGCAGAGAGATCCAAACCCAGACTTGGAACTGATGGGTTGAAGGAGGCTCTCCCAGGAGGTCAGACAGGACTGTGTAACTTCAGTCCAGGAAGTCATTAAGACTGAAAATGACACCTTCTGAAAATCACAGGTAGATTTTTGGTTTGAATTTTAATTTTTAGTTGTCTTATCAAGTTAAACTCTTCTGCTCTATTTAATTTGTTCAGGTGAGGAAGGGTTTAGGCTTAGGAAACCTTTGATGTCTTGGTTGTGCTCATCTCTCAAAAATGTTTGGCACGGTGCTTTGTTAGGTCTGGCAAGACAAGCTCTCTTCATTACATTTTAGGAATGAAAATATTTTTGCCAAATTGACAGCAAGAGTAACAATTTTCCAAGTAAGATATTTTCCCAAAAATGAAAAATCTTTTTTGGTTAAACAACTCTTATCAAAGCCCTTGCACAGAAAATTCTTTGCCTCCTATCATAGGTCAGCATGATATCTGAAGTTATCTTTTAGGCTTTCTTTTTTTTTTTTTTTTTTTTTTTTTTTTTTTTTTTTTTTTTTTTTTTTTTTTTTTTTTTTTTTTTTTTTTTTTTTTTTTTTTTTTTTTTTTTTTTTTTTTTTTTTTTTTTTTTTTTTTTTTTTATTTTTATTTTTTTATTTTACATTTCTACCTCTCTTAAGATGCTGTGATATGAAGTATTTGAAGTATCTGGTATTGAGAGGTCAAAAGAGAAAAATCTCGATGGAAAAATACATGTTGTCCAAAGGTGTGAGAATGTACAACATGATCTCAGTCTAGATCAGCAGATCTGTAGGTGACACAAATCTGAAATCCATCTATTGCCACTGAAATACAATCATTTATTTCAAGAAAGTAGATTTTTTTTTCCTTTTAGCTGAGGTTCTTAAGTGTTTTTGTACTGGTAAAGTTGAAGAGTAGGGTAGAACTTTAATGGTCAGAGAAACTTTCTGTAGTTGTTCCTTGGTGGCAAAATCAAGTGACAGAAACAGTGAGACTTTTTAAGGGATTATGGTATGACATCTTTGGTGAACTATTAACCAGGTTTCTTCCTCATGAAACAATCTTTATTTGCAATACTTATTTATAAAATGTATATCTTTATTATCTTTTCCTTTTTTATTTTGATCAGCTTTCTCACCCCCTGATTGGTTTGGGGTTTTTTGGTTTTGCCTCTTCAGTGTTTAGTTCAACAAACTTCTATGCTGTGGGCAAAGTTTCTAGAATATTTTATATCCCAGTTTCCATATGGACTGTTAATAAAGGCTGTTCCTTATTTAGTCTCTGCAAATATGCATCACACTGTTTTACAATAATTTACCCAAAAGATTTTCATAGATGGTATTTTCCTAAGGTGGTACTACTTTTTGTTACTGGTAGATTAAATGTGTATGTTTTAAAGAAAGCAGTCAGCCAATTTTTATTTTAATCACTTTCCCCCTGGCATTTCAACTTGCATATCGGTTTGCCAGGCATTTATATGCAAAAGATAAACATTGAAGTGTGAGACTTTGTATTTTTGTATGGGAAGATGAGAAAAGAAATATGGTGCGAAGTTAAAAACAATTTTTATGAAGTTTTCTACGGCTTTCACTCTTCCCTCACTTGAAGTAAAGCAGAACTGGAAAATATTATCTGTAGAGAAAATTATGCATGATAAACTGTTAAATACAGTAGCAATAAAAAGAAAAATGCACCCGAAAATTACAATAGAAGCATAGGTCTGCCAAGAGGTTTTCTAAACTGTACTATTTCTTGTGGTCACGCTATACTTAAGGCTAACTAGACCATTCCAATAGAAATTGAAATCTGGGTTATTTATAAAGTTCCTGAAAATATTTTGTGGAAGCTGAAATGTCTGGTGCTATGTCTGTCCTAAATATGGTATCCCTTTAAGTGAAAATTTTTGAAGTATTATTACTTCTTTCTGATTAAGCAAGTTTAGGAAAAAAACCCCACAAAACAAACAAAACAAAAAGTCCCAAGAAAAACAAAACAAAAAACAACCAAAGGAAATCCACAATCAAACTTACTGCAACATGTTTTGACTTTTTGAAGTTGTTGTTATCATTGTCCTCTTATTTATTATTGTCCCTATGATTTATTTAATATCCCTGATAGTCTATGGTTTGCATTCATACTTTGCAAACTCTTGGAAGGTCTATGTCAGTATAGCCTGCATTTTATGCTTGATCATCAAGAAAGACTAGAAGAGCTAATGTATTTTCCCTAAAATTTTTTCATTGTTGTTTCAAAAGTCAAAGTATGATTTTGAACTTTGCAGTCTTTCTGTTCAGCATTTTCATTATCTATACATGAATTTCGGGTGCTACATGCCCATTGAAGCACATTGCTGTCTGAATACACAGAGCCAGATAATACACAGCTGCAGTAACAGCTATGCAAAAGTCTTACCTTCATGGAAAAAATCTTAGGTGGTCACACCACTAATCTACAAATGCCTTTTTTTTTTTTCTTTCTGTAGTGAGAGCCAGTGTCTTGTACAGTCTGACTTATAAATATATTAACCCTTTTCTTATTAATCTCTTTCTTTCAGTCCCACCTTGTTTTCTTTGTATTTTCAAGGTAGATATATTCAGCCTTAACTGCACTATTCCAGTCTAGCACTTCTGTAAGAGCAAGAAATATTTTTATTTTTCTTTACAACCAGCAAAGACCTGCAGAATCTGTTGCTCAGACTCTACCTTCCTAGGAACCAGGAAAAGGTATTCTGTCCTGGGAATGGAAAGAAAAAAGAGCTCATGAGGCAACACCCAACATAGCCCAAGAGGGAAGTCTTGAAATGTTATGATAAATAAAAAAAGTTGAGCTACTGCTGGTTATGGTAGCATATCAAATATGGAATATGTGAATCCTTTATAAAAATACAATTATTTGTCACTCTCATATTGACATGGACAGCAATGATTCATCTTTAGGACTACAGCTTCATCTTTTCTTTATGGCCATGAAATACACCCTGTCTGTCAAAGGCTAGTATCACTATCTTTAGGTAGTAAATGCCAGTTCAGATCTTACTAGATACAGGTCAGTAATATGGCAGAAACTCATATGCAGGGCTGCACTTTCACTTCCGCTTTCTGTGGGTACAAGGGAGGTGTTTACACTTGTTTGTCCACTCCAGTTCTGGATGTGTTTCTGTTTCTTCAAATTGTTTGCTCATAAGCT